TAGCTTTGGCTTTCAAGGAATGCACTTCTGCAAAATTCATCAGAAAGGTTTGTTCTCTTTTCCCATCCCTTCTCTTGGAGAGAATACTACAGATTTAATTGATAGATTGGATTGGACCAAGGTATGCCATTTTCACACTCTCTCTAGTGCCTGATAAAGTTGTAGTTTAGTTTCTTCTTCTGCCCATCTGGAAAACTGTTTCGTGCACACAATCATGTTTGCTTTCCTTGCCAAATGCTATGCTTCTCCTGGAATTCAGGAGTAGCTGGGGGTGGGGTGAGGGGATATCACACAACCTTTGCAGTCCCAGTCTTTAGCCTGATAATATATTCTTCTAAACAGCTTGCCGTCAAAAAGTCCCTGCTATGTCACAGCAACTTCAGACTGGTTGCCTTGCAAATTAATTGACTGGTTATGAGAAGGAAGACAGGATGTGAAATCACCTTTTATTTGCCTCAATTCCCTATATGTCCATACCACTACAGCCTTTCTCCTTTCTCCAGCCACACATGCAACTAGCCAGGAAAAAAGAAAGAGAGAGGAGAGAGAGCAAGAGATCAACCTCATTTATTGTACCTTGCAAGTTAATTAAGACAAGAAGTAAACAGCAACAAGATAACTAGATTGTGCAGGAGAGCTGTTGGAGATAAGGAAAAAAAATCTGGAGCGGACTTGTTTTTGGAAGTTTCCTAGATGCCTCTGCAGCTTGCAAGGGAGGTGACCACAAAGCTAAATTTTCAGTTGCGGCAGATTTAGCCCAGGGGGAACCATTACAATTCTAACTGCATTACTAGGTCTTCTCTGCAGTTCTGTGGAAAGACTGGCTGCCAGTTGGTGGCACACTTGGTGCATGTGTTCAGGGACACTTCTACAGCATTCTCGCTGGCTAACAGAAATCATTTTTTGGCAACTAAGACTGGACATACTTCATGGACCTCCAATAATGTGTTCTGAGATAGTTAGATAGTCCAAGCGTGAATTCCAGCTTTTCCCAGCAGAGGGCAATAGCTAACAGTGAACATCTGCAAACAGGACTCACTGCTCATCAATCAATCTTTATTATGCCATCACAGACCCGACAAGAGCTCATAAAAACATTTCAAAACCAATTAAATACAATTAAATAAACACATAGGCATATAAGTATTAATAAAACAGAGGCAAGGGTCATCTTGCACATTCTTTGTGCCGATAAAGGAAACTTGGCCGCTAATTCTGTGTTGAACTTGTAAGTATCAGCTAAGAAATGTTTCAAGTAACAGTTGAAAGTCCTACCCAGGAAATCACTCATTAAGTAAAAACTGTATACAAAAAGGACATGCCACAGAGTTTCAATTTCTATGTTATTACAGGGGCACAGTCAATTTTCTTATGGTGCACCATAGTAATACCCATTTAGACCTGCAAATAGAAGGCAATTTGATCTGGCTCTTGAAAAGATTTGCTGATATCTTATAATCTTAACCAAAGAACGATACACTCCGTCCATCTTCTTCCACCAAGTGCGCAGCTTCGGGAGAAATGCACATGGAGCAGGGAAGGAGGAAAGGGACATCCACATAACCAGCCAGATCGGCCAAATCAACCCTTGTGATCAATGGGGTGACAAATGTCGTAGCCAGACTGCCCTCGCATACAGCTCTAACTTCTACAGGTAATAAATTATCCAATAACTTTGGTATTGCTACTTGATATAATTATGGAATGCTTTAAGGCGATTTTAGCTTAGTACATATTTTCTTCTTTTATTTTATTATACTTCATTTTTCATTTTTTAACTTTTGTATGTTATATGCTAAGGCCTATGCAATCTTTATGCAAATAAAGATTGACTTGACTGGCTGATATTTTGGGCTGTTCAGATTTTCCAAATACCTAGCACTTGGGAGAAATTCAAAATTTAAACCAAAATGCAGAGGTAAGAAGGTCTTGCAGGCACATGATATGGAATATTGAAAATCAATATTCCTAAGCCACTTTCCCAGAATAGATTTAGCTGCCATAAACTCTTGGGCATGGAAAAAATCCACAGGTAGTCTTAATAAATGCAATTTAATGGGAAAGGTTTTAAAATAGAAACTAATATGGATACCTTTTTGTAAAAGGTAAACGTAAATGTCCTACAGTGCTGTTAGCATATAACATTTTAATCTAGTACCTCCAAACATGTAGCCAGGCAGTACATTTCAGTGATGAAGCACCTGTCTCAAGTCATATGACTGCTGCAGGAACACATCCTGGCATCCCAAGGATAAATCTTAGCAATTTTGTAAGAACACTTTCAATATTTTGCTGAGATCCTAGCATCCAAATTAAGATTAGGAGTTGGGGCAAGACCTTAGACTTAAAGAACTTTGTGTCCATAGGCATAAATTGCCCTCCCCTGCTTGTAAAGAAAAAGTGATTAAATGGCATTGATAGTATTCTGAGCTGCCTATGTGTAGGTCAGAAAAGATTACGATGAAATCCACTACTGAGATATTAAGAACCTGACTTGGTCAATCCACTGACCATTGATTATCTACCTTTTTAATGTTACATGCTGATGAAAGATCATTATTTGGTTGACTGCTGCTGCTATTGTTCCACAAACAGCCAGTTCCACTGATTATATTTTACAAGTGGATCCACTGCATGTACAACGCAAATGCAGTACTTCTGTGGGCAAACCCCAAAATGAATGGAACCACTTGTTTTTGGAACAAGGCATATTGGCTGAGCTTTCTTAAGCAGGCTCCATGGACTTGCCCCATTCAAAAAATTAATTTGAATTCTTTTTGAGTTGTCCTCAATTCCTTTTGCATTGCCCCAGAAGTGCTGAATCTCTGTTGTGCAAAAGGTGAGCCCCACTTACACAAGGGAATCGATAGGGCTGGCCTCTTGCATGGTCACCACTGGGCACTGCTCACTGTCTCTTAACATATTAGCATGGACAAAGGGTGCTACTGGAAAGTTGGCAGTAGGCTGTACCTGTGGAAGGTCCTTGCACCTGTGATTTGCTCTCTACATATGGCAGGCACATTTATGCCATGCCTTTAGGAACCCAGTGCCAGTGGTATCAGCCATTATTCTAGTGCTCCTCAATAGAAGTATAGTAAGCCTTTTTCTCCTAACTCTGCTGAAAATAACGGCTCACACTTCACTCCATCTTTGACGACCACTTAGCAAAAATGCCTAAACGGATTCATACAAAATCCTGGCAAGTGCTCAGCATTTGTCATCCAAGTTGTTGACTAGCAAAGATAATGCTTGATGAACTACACAAAGGGCCCCCCATACAGATACAAATCCATTCTATTTAATCTCACCATTTATGTTTATATTCATGCAACTTCAATGTTGGCTACAGTGCTATACAAAATGAATCCATGAGTAACTGAACATAACATTATTTGCATGCTTGACACAGGATTTGATTTGTATGACAGAAGACTAGTATGCCTACTTTACAAAATACCTTATGAAGGTGCTACAGCGACAATTCTTCAGAGTATCTCCCTTTTAAAGAAGAAATCTTGACAAAGTCTAACAGAATTTAATGATAAAGGATACATGTGTTTGTGGGTATCTGATTACTATTCCACTGACATGACTGCAGAACATTCAAAGTTCATTAGCAGCAATATTTATTCTGGAGTCAGGGATATTGATATTGTAATAAGAACTCAGTTTTATGTATCCCTGAACAATAATTAGGTTTGAGGAGGAAAAAACAAATACCTATCCAGTGGTCAATAGATCAAAAGTGTTTATTGCAAAGAAGTACCTTTTATGACTATTCAAATATTAATTTGAACAGACTGCACGCAGTAAAACTAACTTACCATGGTGTGAGGTAATCCAGGATAGCTTCACCAACTCTTGTTGAAAGCCTTATTCAAAATCATCACTCTTCTGTTTCTTACTTCCTTTCTCTAATGTTTAATCAATTTGATGATTTGGTTTTAGCTACCCTAACCTTATATAGGGACACATTCAACTGTAAAACTAATGTCCCTCATGCCATTAACTAAAAAAACTTATGCTTCTTCTAAAAAGCAGCACTGTCCCTTAACCAAAGAAATCTTAGGGTTTAGGGGGGCCTTTAAGACGAGAGATGAATATATAACATCACAGATCTTTTTAGAAAAGGCATTGCTTCCCGTATGCAACACAGATCCTGAGACCAACAGTTGTTCTGGATATTCACATAAAACCCTGGTTAGTCACTTATTTATATATTGTCATCAAAGGTTTTTAATAAATTAGCATAGCCAATTAATCAACTCTAACTTGCAGTGGTACTAAACAATAATGATCAAGCACACACTCATCAACCATTTTTCTCCCAATCTAAACTCCTAAGACTCAAAGTCTTGAAGTGAGTTTTTAAATTTAAAGAAAGAGTTTGGTGATTATGAGATACACCTCCCTCACATGCTCATGCACATGCAAACACTGGCACAACTGCCCACATGCATGCTCTATCCACTTCCACTTCTGTGCAACACACAGGAAGATATCCACATGCATGTCAGTCTCATCACGCTCAGTCTCGAATATTCATCATGCGTATAAATGCTTGCACACATGGAAGGGCAGCAATGGAAGGAATAATGATTCAGAGTTCTCTTCTGCCTTCTCCCACCCCAATCCCTACTTTGATTTTCCACTCTCTTCTTGCAGTGGCCATGTCCGACTGTTCTCTTTTGCCCTTTGCTCTTCCTGTATCACTGTGTTCTTCTTTCCTTGACACTCAGACTTAAAAAAAAAGATCTATAGCTCTGAGACAGATCCTTTCCGAAGTCCTCAGGGTCGACACCCTCAACACTTCTTCCTGCTGGTTTTCTTGTTTCTATGGCTAGAAACTCACCTCTCTTGCACTATGCAGCTAAAACTTATCAGGAATGTTCTCTGTTTCAAATACATTTCTGATAAGCATCTGAAGACAGACCTTTACAACAGCTCCCAAATCAACTATGTCACCTTGATGAATTGTATTATCCAATCATCAATAGTACCTGATATGCCTTTATTATGGTAACAGGTTCCTCTTGGTTTGGTTCTGATGATTCTCTACTTTGCAGTAGATTCCTTACTGTCTCTTCCATTCTGGAAACAGATAAGAAGAAGAAACAACCACTCAATTATTAAAGACCAAAATTATTTATGAATTTATTGTACAAAGATAATTTAAGTTTTGTTCCCAGTCACACTGCTGAATAGACTTGCATCATATCTATGCATGGACAGACAAACAGACAGACAGACGGCAGGGGGAGTAATTTCAAATACAAGAAAAGGAAAAATGCCATATATAAAGACAGTTATTTTTGATACTTTTAATTTAGATGTCTCTAGACTTAGAAAACAGAAGTCCATCAAAATTGAAAATTCAAAAAAATTAAAATATACAGTTAGGCACCACATTTATTAGGACGACCAAAATGCCACAGAAGGCAATGAATACAACTACATACTATAAGAGGCAGAAGATGGAGGAAAGGTGAGCAGAAAAATTCTAAAATGAGCCAAGTTCTGGTGATCACATGACCTCCATTTAAAACAATAACAAAAAACCAAAACAAAAACACTTTTCTGTTAATGTATTCATGGACCAGTATAGCTATGCTTGGCTTTGTTTTGTTTTGATTAAAATTAAAATGTTTTATTTGGATATTGTATTTGAAACTCTGTAACATTCTTGTATGTACCCAAGGAAAGTTATGGCTACAGAGTATCCCTTCTTAGTTCAGCCAGTCTTATAACTCAAGTTAAGAAACACCAATTTATAAAGAAAACAATATATTAAATCATTGTTAAATTGTGTGTGTGTGTGTGTGTGTGTGTGTGTCTCGGGCAATTTCAGGTGGATTTTTGTGGCAAAGTATAATGCTATGTTCATTTTTGCTCAGTTCTCATGAAACTTACAATGAGTTATGGTCTCATTCCAAGTCCAAAAAGTTAAAACCATAAAATAAAATAATGAATTATTACTTTTATATATTGCCCATCATTCTGATGGTCAAGGCGCAGAATTTTTATCCTCACAAGACCTAGCCTGTGAATTAATAGGTTCAGAAACTCTGCCTGCATCAGCACTGGTATACATTAGTGTAAAGAGATAAACTCAGAACTGCCCATTGAGACTCTGTCCAATGATCCACTTGGACTATAAATACAGTTCTCTAAGGACACATTTAATGCACAATCCTATGCACATGTAGACAGCAAATGTCCTGCCGTTCTCCGTACGCCCCAGCCAGCATATATGGCTGGGCATACAATGGCAGCCTTAAAAGCTTTTCATGGGATGGGAACACAAGAACTGTCTTACTTGTTCAGCCTATGGGCCATCTGGTAGAACTCTGTGTGTTTTAGGTGCACAGAAGCAGGGCAGAAGCAGTAACATTTCTCATGCTAATTGCAGTGTGTGGTGTTCTCTGGGGCTAGCTACTCTATCAAATTCTTGCTTTGACAACAACATTCCAGTTTATTTAGCACTGCATGTTAAGAACTTAATCATGGAAGAGTCATCACAAAAAAGCCATTTTAGTCAGATGTCCAGTGATAGTTCTAGTATGATTAGTGTTTACATGAAGATACACTTGCTTCACGTCTACCAGAAATCATCCAGTGCTGTTGTTCCATCTGTTCATCAAATAGGAACAAAAATAAACTAGTATAATCTTCAGTTCAGCCATTAGTATATAGTTTCCCATTACCAGATTTGAACCATCTGTGTTTATATCTCATCCTTAAGAAGCATGCTTCCTTATTCCAAAACTTTTTCTTCCTTAGCTTACCTTCTAGAATGGAAATATCAGCTAGTATACATGAGCATAAGAATGTCACGTGCTTGCATTTAAATGTACTCACCGATCCTTCAAAAAACTTTGGAAAAGATTGAGATGTGAATTAAAACAGGAAGCAGTCCTCAATGGAAGCAGCTCCCTTGCCACACACACACATTATCTCCCTGTCCAGCTTATAGCTGCACTGTCCTGCAGAGGTACAACCTGGTATATCCATATGGGAAGCAACATCCAAATAAGGGGCAAGTTTCCATGCTAGTGATCTTCACCACCACTAAACCTCATGTCTTGTATTTCACCTTGACAGCTAGAGTTGAATGTGGAAGCTGAAGGATGTGGAAGTGAAGTGAAGGGAATGAAGAGGGGAGTGAATGAGGGTGGAGCACCACCTGGAAATGGCATCAGCGGCACCCCCTGTCCTGTCTCCTACTTTGCATGAACCTTTTCCTCCTCTATGAGTAGGGAGTTCACAGAACTGCATCTTTGAGTGGTGTAGGCCATTGACTGGCTTCTAACTGGCCTCTCAGAAGAACGATGCTTTTTTTCAGCCAAAACTAGTGGTGAGTTCAATAAATAAATAAATCCACCCATCCATCCAGCTAGAAACCTATTTTCCTTAATGTAATTGTAGATGTTGATTTGTTGCCTCAGACTAGGCTATACTTTGTTCAATGTACAGGTCAGATCCATCTTATAGAAAAGAAGCCATTTCTATGGGCAAACCAAACAAAGTGTTATAAACCAATCCAGACAGCGGAATGAGTGGTTATAATGGAAAACTAAACCTAGCCTTTGTTACTGCTATTTTTAGTACAGAAATTTGTAATGGCTGCTGGTTCTTCTATGAAGCTGATTCAGCAATGCAGAAGCAGTGCTTTACATGCTGTAAGGTACAAAACTCATTTAGGCACTTATACATAACAAATAGAATATAATCTTAGTTTTCTGTCAATTTAATTTGTTCCCTTTCTTTCCCCATTAGAAACAGAGGGCTGTTCACTGCCAAGGAACAGCAATTGGATATTATTACATGGACTCCCTTTAAGAGGAAGATGGTAGCTTCTATCTACTTTAATAGGCCACATGTTTGGCAGCAGCATGGGAAATGGTGCTGTACCACATCAGACATATGCAGTCTGCTTGTGTGATTCATAGATGCCCTCAAGTGCCACAGCCAGATGTTTCTCACATCACTGCTTGCTGCTATGTGCCATCAAGTCATCTCTGACTTATGACAACTCTATGAATAAATGCCCTCCAAAGTGTTTTGTCCCTTACAGCCATGCTCAGCTCTTGTAAATTCAAGGCTATGGCTTTCCTTATGGAATCACTCCATCTCGTATTTGGTCTTCCCTTTTTCTGCTTTGGACTTTCCCTAGCATGATTGTCTTTTTCAGTAGGTCTTGTTTTCTCATTATGTGCCTCAAGTACAACAGCTACAGTTTCATCACAATTGCTTCAAGTTATGGCTTGATTTCTCTAGGACCCACTTAAAACAATTTGAAGATGTCAGGGACTGAATCTGTAATGCAGTGCATACTTTCTGTTACTGTCACCTTGTCATGAACCTTTTGACTGCCTCCTGGCTATCTCTGAGGTAGGGAACAACTGACTTGTCTTGGGCTTTTGTCTACACTGTCCCCAAAGTTGTAGAAATTCAGCTATTCTTGTTATGAATAGGCATGTCCCAAACTACCAGAGTAGCAGTATGGATTAAAGCCGTAACATTATGAAAGGAAATGTAGCAAAGCAGGGAAAACATAAAACTAACCCAAGGAGGTTATAGAATTGGTACAGAAAACACAGGAAGGGTTATGAAGTATACAAAGAAGATTAAGAAAAGTAACTCAGAGAACATAAAGCAGAACACCCCTTTGAAATTTTGGTCATCTTCATAATCTTGTATTATTTGGGAGACACATTCCATACAATTCACTGACTTTTTATTTTCTTTTACTCATTTATTACATGTTTCTCTATCTGTTCAAGAGGGAAACATATCACAGGTACAGGTGCAAGAAATTTATACAGAAAGTATTCACATGGTTAGACCGAACAATGTCAGAGGAAAAAGAAAGACATATCCAATACTGCCACAGGGACCCTGTTCTCTCTCTCATGCCTACAGGACTCACTGTGATGATAAACGCAAAAATATGAGGCAAAAACACTTATTTCCAGACTCAACATGTCAGTGAAGCTCTCTTCTGCAATTGCTGTTGATCTCCCCTTTTCGGGAAATGTGTTTTCTGACTCATTTCCAATTGCACTAGGAACTGCCAGCTTCCTGTCAAGCTAGTGGTGGGCTGCATCCTGCTCACTGCTCTCTTACACATATCATTGCAGTATGGGCAGGAGGATTGTCTTACTCCTCCTTGAAATTAGGAAGGTTTGCCATGCTCAACAGACTGCAGGACCTGCTCCCTTAAAAGCATCAGAGTCTAAAGCATATTTACTTCCTTTTTAGTCTCATACAGAAAGGTTTTAAAGGGTTTTAGAATTAAGGGATAAATTCTCCTTTACTGACATTCAGACAATTTCAAGTCAACAGGAGTGGTACATATAGCTGATTACAGATTTGACCTCAATTAATCTCCATGACATCCCAGTGAATATTAGTACACCAGAGAACCTCTTTAATTCACAAATGATATGGGAGCCCATTGTGAGTTACTGAATTTTGCAAATTAGTAATGTGAACAAACACAATAAGAGAGGCAAGGACTATTCATCATAAATTGTGCTTCCCTCATTTATTTGATAAATGTAATTTAGCTGTAGCTAATTGCTATTACATTTTGTATATTAGTAAACAGAGTGCAGAATAGTTCAAAGAAACAGCAACAACATGAGGCCAAGCTGACTCCAGTGTCACTTGTTAAGTGTTCCAGATAAGCAGTCAGTGAGATACTTTAAACTTATGGCATCTTGTGAATCTTGTTATTATACATCAGCTAAGTTTAAAAGGCACAAATTAAGAAACTTGCCAACACCAGAGCCATTAAGAAGAAAAAAGGCCCTCTCCTCAGAAAGGAGCCATACCGTTCCTTAGCCCACTGTGGCAAAGTAACTGACCTAACGAGTGGAGTGGCAAAGACCTGTGCTCTTGCCACATGTGACCACCTGTGTGCTGTGCTCTTGCATTTTCCATCACAACTGCTTCTCACTGGCCTGCGGGAATTTAATTGTAACACACAGCGGAGGGAAGATAATGAGGGACCAAGTGCAAGCATTCCTGAAGCTTTATTTAACTCTGGACATAGAGAATAAAAGATGCATTATACTTCTGGCAAATAT